CATATCAGTAGTTAACATCTTGTATATCCAAGATCATTCAAACACATAGTCAGCTAAACCAAAAGCTTATACACATAAACGGTCTATCATGACCAATAGAAGTAGCAAAAGAAATACAAAAGATCATAAACAAGCCTCTTGCGTGAGGCACCTGGGCTGACTTCACAAAACTCAGGTTCCTTTCTTAAATTCCACTAAGGCTGGGATTGAACGTTCCTTTGCTCACCTACATACATATAAATAAGAGTGAGCTAACACCCAGTGAATAATATCAAAATAAAGAGGTTAATGAATGAGATTCATTCATAAATGAGTCATACTTATAATGTACACATTTGAACCACTATTCTCATCCACATCAAATTTACAAATCTCAACAAAGCAAAACGACCTCGGGTCCAACACATCATATCCATATGCAAATGACGTCGGGTCCAATTCTTATATAAAACAAACGACCTTGGGTCCATCTATACAGAACGACCTTTGGTCCAATTCGAACATATCAAACGACCTCGGGCCCAATTCAAACATATCATGCATATCAAACGGCCTGGGGCCCATTCTCTTTATATTCATATCTATGCGTATTTCATATTCATGATCATAATCCTTTTTCATTCAAATGGCCTTTGGCCTATTACGCTCATTTTCAAACGGCCTTTGGCCTATTTTCTTTATATTCATATCTATGCGTATTTCATATTCATGATCATGATCCCTTTTTATTCGATCATGATCCATTTTCATTCAAACGGCCTTTGGCCCATTACGCTCATGTTCTAACGGCCTTTGGCCCATCACGGTATTCAAACGGCCTTTGGCCCATCATCATTATATTCAAACAGCCTTTGGCCTATCTTTATATTCAAACATATCAAATGGCAAATGGCTTTAGGCCCACCTTTATATTTAAACGTCTCAAATGGCAAACGGCCTTAGGCCCAATTTGGACATATCAAACGTATCAAATGGCCTTAAGCCCAGTTCGAACATATCAAACGTATCAAACGGCAAAAGGCCTTAGGCCCAATTCGGACATATCAAACATATCAAACGGCCTTATACAAAATTAGGCATGTAGAATACTCATTCATATTTTAAATCAACAAATCCATGAAACTTATATAGAAGTAGCATTTGGAAAGTAACATACTTGAAAATGTCTTTACTAAGATATTACTCACAGTGATCTGCCGGTTGGTTTGCCCTTGTGCTTGACCCTACACATTTCATGAACATAATGGGTCACAAACGATTCAATCCGTTTTTAATTCATACATCCCTCTTAGGCTTCTTTTTTATTCTTTTAACTCATTTACAATGCTTAGTATATGCCTAAGAGTACTTAGAAATGAAAGAGAACGGAAAATGAAACACAAAACATCTTTATAAAGTTTCTGAAACAGGGCTCCCCGCTCGAGCTTGGCTTCCGCCGCTCGAGCGGACCCATTTGGTCTGCAATAGTACAGGTTGCCTTATTTTTGCACTCGAGCTGAGAATCGACACATGTGACTTACGCTCGAGCGTGACTCTCCTCGCTCAAGCGGACATCAAAATCTGCAAAAGTTCTGGGAACTAATATTTCACGATCGAGCGGCGCTTTTCCCGCTCGAGCAGACATGCCAAATTCTAGAATTTCCAGAACTGTTCTTGAAGCCTAAACTTGATATTCAAAGACCCCAAACTCATGATCTTGGTTCAAAAACATAAAAACACATTATATAATATGAGAACATAACCACTATGAGGCCAATTATTCAAAATCATGATCTAACTCTCAAATTAATCAGCATTCATCTTGTATGGTCAAAACCCATGTATTCGAACTTCATACAAGCCTCCTATCTCCATCAATCATGCATGCATGTAAGTTTTTGGCTTCAATTCCATTTCAAATGGCACCAATGATACTTATAATCATGAAACTTAACAAAACCATGCTTGCATGTATGCTTTAATGCTCAATTTTTCATAATTAACACATTACATGCTCACTTATGCAATTTCATGGCAATTCTAAACATGCATGTGCATATAGACTTCAATCTCTTCATAATCAGCTCAATTCATGCTTTTGAACATCATTTAATTTTGAATTTACAAAATAACAAACTCAAACTCATAAATTTATGCTCAATCACTCACCTAGGAGCTTCAATCTTCCAAATTCTAGTTAGTTCCTTGAGTTTAGCTTCCAATCCTCAAGCTTTGAGCCAAAATTCATAATTTGAGCCCCTCTCTCTCTTTAGAGCCGTCTCTCACTCTCTCTCTAGAGTACATTCAAATTTTTGAGTTCAACAAATGAGGGACTTGAGTGTATATTAGCCTATTTATAGGCTTATTAAATTAGACTTGGTTAAGGCTAATTAATTGTACTCAATTCAATCAGTTTAATCTAATTATTTTGATCCAAATCAATTTCTAATTAATTTTCACCGTAGGCTCTAAAAATTACGTCAATCACAATGGCGTAGTCAATTTCGGTTTCAGTGGCCGATAAGGCTTTCAATTTTTAGTTCAAAGCACAGATTCTAACAGATTTTTCTATAGTGAACAGATACAAAGCCAAAATCACATATAATCATGTAATTAACGCCTAAATTCAAATTAAGCACATAATTACAAACATAATCATGATTAATTAATATAGTACAAGATAGGGTTATTTCATGCTCAAACTTAGACAAATTAAAAAAAATACATCTAAATTCTTATGTTTAGACCATTGAAACTGTTAATTCTATGACAGACTAATTTGGACCCTTCGATTTTAGCAGATTGAATCCGTTTGGCAAGAGTTTTTTTTGGCTATTTTAGTCACAAAAAATAAAATAGGCTATTTTAGCTACAATAAATAAAATATCAGGTCCAACCCATAATCATTACACTCTTCTCTCACAAGAAAAGTTAAAAAAATCAAAAAAACTAAAAAAATCAAAAAGCTAAAAAGTCCTTCCCAAACTAAACCTTTTAACTCAGGTTAAAATAATTAAAAAAGTTAAAAGGTCAAAAAATTAAAAAAATCAACCCGCTTCCCAAACGGAGGCATAGTACAAATGAATCGATACAAGAAAGCCTTAAAAAAATGAAAAAGAAAATAATAATAAAAAAGAAAAAAAAGAGAGAAAAGCAGAGAGCTACGAGGGAAGAGGCTGATCAGGTTGGTCCAGCAATGCACAGCAGTTCTCACGTAACCTGTGACACCCCCTCGCTGACTTGTCCCTGTTTTCCTTGCAGTTGCATTCCACCTTATTGAAATCAACCAATCCTCCTTTCTCTCTTTTTTTTTACTAATAACAAACACAAAAGTTATATAGCTCTTGGCTGTACATTTTAGACCATCACTCCCTCTAGTATACTATTCCTCATTAATCTCTCTCTGAGTGTAAATATAGAGTGTGAAAGATAGAAGCGTCCTCAGTCATCTCATTCACGGCAAATTTATAAATTTAGAATTATCAACAGAGAATTTATTTAGAAACAACAATTAATAGTTTAAATTCATTTCACTTATAGAATTTATATTTCATTAATTTAATATTCACCACACACACATATATATATATATATATATATAGTCAACCTATGACTCGTTGATAGAGCATTTGTGAACCTACCATGTTTGGTACCTACATGTTGTTGGTACACGGAAAATGAGTGGGAGCACTAATTAGTGCCACCACTAATGATGTGGCAGTGGGCCCCACCAGGAATGATTTGATGTTTTGGCCTTGGTGTTGTATTTTTTTTCTTTTTTTTATTGAGTGCCATGTCATTAGTGGTCTTTTTAGAACTCCAAAATTAGTGGTCTCTATCATTGTTGTTAATTTCACTCATTATATAAATTACAAATATAAAAAATATCTTAAATTATGTCAAAACGTCAATTGATACACTAATTAAAGTACTAATTGAGGCATATGACATTAATCTAATCCATATGCTTTCAATAACTCATCTATATCTATACTATATATTAAGTAAAAAGGAGTTTTTAACCCCAAGCTTTGTGGGAGTTCCAATCTCTCCATTTAAATTTCTTGATTTTTTGATTTTAAAAAAAAACCCTTAGCATTTATTAACATCTCTCAACCCCCAAGTCTTACTCTCATATTAACACTTTAATGCATTAAGAATAAGCATAAAAAAATTTCTTTGAAATCTAATACATATGAATTTCTTGAAAAGTCCCAACACATATGATTATTATCTCTCAAAATATTAAACTTTAATATAATATAATATAATAAAAAAAAAGACATTTAATTCCTTGAAAAGTCCAACACATATGATTATTATCAAAATATTAAACTTTAATATAATACAAAAAAGGAAAAAAAGAAGACATTTAAAAAAAAAATATTTAAAAATCACAATTCACATATATAGATAATTGTAAACACAATCCGTGCATAGCACGGGTGATATGCTAGTTATATATTAAGGAAAATGGGGTTTTTAACTCCAATCCTTGTGGGAGCTCCAATCTCTCAATCTAAATTTTTTGATTTTTTGATTTAAAAAAAAACCCTTAATATTTATTAATTTCTCCCAACTCCCAAATCTTACTCTCATACTAACACTTTAATGTATTAAGAATAAACATAATTTTTTTTTAAAATCTAATACATATGAATTTCTTAAAAAGTCTTAACACATACGATTATTATCCCTCGTAATAACACTTTAATGTATTAAGAACAACCATAAAAAAAAAATTTCTTAAAACGTTCAACACATATGATTATTATCAAAATATTAAACTGTAATATAATATAATAAAAAAAGATATTTAATTTTTTGAAAAGTCTAACACATGTGATTATTATCAAAATATTAAACTTTAATATAATATAAAAAAAAAAAAAACAGAAGGTATTTAAAAAAAAATATTTAAAAATCACAATTCACACATATAAATAATTATAAATACAATCCGTACATAGCACAAGTAACGTGCTAATATTTATATATTATAATAATTTGTTTATCACCACCATGCCTCGATCTTGTAAACCCCAGATTTGAATCACGAACTCTCCTCATTCCTTCCCCCACCCAATCTCTCTCTCTCCCTCTCTCTCTCTCATCACTATTTCTACCCAACTCTTCCCACCTTCAATCCTCCCCTTTTCAAATCCCACTTCCTACTTCAAAAATCCCCTAAAAAACTCATTTAAAACCTTCACTACCCTCTCTCTCTCTCTCTCTCTCTCTCTCTCATCCTTCTCTGATTCACCAAAGCAAAGCTTGTGATGATGGCTAATAAGCATCTACACGAGCTACTCAAAGAAGACCAAGAACCATTCCTTCTTACGAAGTACATCGCCGACAAGCGATCTCAACTCAACAAACCCACACCCAAACCCTCATTACGACGCAAACCCATAATTGAAAGCTCCTCTTCAAAACGCCGCCTCTACAAACATGCCGGTTTTCTCTCCTTCGCCAACTCGCCGGACCTCAAAAAATCGCCGGCGACTTCGAATAACCCCTCTAAAAGCCCCAATGCTGTTATTCTTCACGTCCCTTCCAGAACATCTGCTCTGCTTCTCGAAGCTGCAATGAGGATTCAGAATCAGAAACAATCTTCGTCTCATAAACCCAAAACCCAGATTAAAAATGCCGGGTTTGGGTTGTTTGGGTCGATTCTCAATAGATTAAGCAGTAAAAATACGACTCAGAAGTGTGAAGTTGGTGGAACTGGGGATGGTGGTTTGCCGAGAAAATCGGCTGGAAAGGGCGAGAAAAAGCAGGAAAGTAATGGGAAAAGTGGGTCTGAGATGGGTTTTTCGTGTTCTTGTAATCATAGTAGGCGTAATAGTAGTACTGTATGGTCGGAGAGCAATGAAGAGAAGTCTTTGGATTTGGAGAGCTCTAGTAGTTGCAGGTCTGATGAGGACTCGGAAGAGATTGAGTTTGCGATTGAAAAGAAAGAATGTGGAGGTTTTGGTTTGTGTGAGAAGGAATTCTGTTTGAGCCCTTTCCAATTTGCTCTCCAAAAGAGTCCCTCTCCTGGTCGCCGGACGCCGGTTTTCTCATCGCCGGCCACTTCTCCGTCTCCCCACAGAAAACAGGTTTGTCTTCATATTTTGCATCCAAATTATGCAAATTAATTGGATAAATTATATGTTTTGCATCATTTTTATTTACATAACTCTATTTAATTTGATTTTGATTTTTAATTTTTAATTTTTTAATAATTTAATCTAATTGATAATGTCAATTAAAATTTTTAAAAGTAAATAGTCCTTACTAATTTGAACAAATTTATAATTTTTACTTATAAAAATATGGCATATATAGCTTGTGTGAGCATTTTTTTTTAATCAAAAAAACTAAAAAATGTAATAAAGTGGATTAAATTAAAATAAAATTATAAATTTAAAGTTAAAATTAAATCAATTAAAATATTACATGAATCAAAATAATATAAAGAACAAAATATAAAAATTACCGATATAATTTACCGAAATTACTTTTAAAATGTTTGTTTGTGTTTTTTTCTTCCCATATAAAAACAAAAAAATAATGTAAAGCTAAAAATCACGAGTCATTTTCATATGATTGTTTTTGTGCGAAACCAATTGTGGAAAATTCAAAGAAAACAACTTTTTGTTTTTCTTTTTAAAAAAGCACTTACTTTCAGCTTTTAAAAAAAAAAGTTTTCGAAATAATTGGTCAAACAAATTTATATATTTTCTATAAAAATAAAAAATAAAAATTGATTAATGATCCGATCACCAAATTTATTTAGTTTAAACTCGTCTGGGTAAGCTTATTTCTAAAAAATGGCTCATTCAGACGAATTCGGACTAAAAAAATTCAGTTGATGTAGCACTGTTAAAAAAATAAAAATAAAACGGACGGGCCAACTCAATGACAACCGAGTAACAAAAAAATAATGTAAAGCTAAAAATCACGAGTCATTTTCATATGATTGTTTTTGTGCGAAACCAATTGTGGAAAATTCAAAGAAAACAACTTTTTGTTTTTCTTTTTAAAAAAGCACTTACTTTCAGCTTTTAAAAAAAAAAGTTTTCGAAATAATTGGTCAAACAAATTTATATATTTTCTATAAAAATAAAAAATAAAAATTGATTAATGATCCGATCACCAAATTTATTTAGGGTGGTTTGAAATGACTTAAATAAGTGTATTTTTTATCTTTTTATAAAAAGATATATAGAAAAATAAAGAGGTGATGTGATGAAAAAAAGATAAAAAAATAAAAAGATGGATTATTTTGATGTTGCCAAACTTGGCCATTTAATTTAAATTCGTCTGAGTGAGTCTATTTCTACAAAGTGGCTCATTCAGACGAATTCGGACTAAAAAAATTCAGTTGATGTAGCACTGTTAAAAAAATAAAAATAAAACAGACGGGCCAACTCAATGACAACCGAGTGAACTCGCGACTCAGTTTATGAAGTCAGACGTGTTTAAATCGTCGGCAAAACGAATTCATTGACCAGAAAGTAGTCTTGAAATGTCAAAATTACCCATCACTCCTTCACCCATGTGGGGTGAATCCAAGGCAGGGGATAGAGTTATTTGTGTCATTTCAGTTTTAGGCAAAACATATCTCTCATTTTTTTGTTTGTTTCGTATCTGTAATTTCGATGACATCTTTCCTCTGCCACGAAAATCTTTGCTTAAGACCCCGTCTACAAAATTATTTGCCGACAAGGACAAATCTTATTTTGTTCTTTTAGTTGGACCCATTATTTTCAATCCCACATCTTTTAGCCATAATCACACCATATTAAACTTTAATTCAAAAGAAAATTATAACAAAAATCGACAATCAACTTTTCATGATTATGGACATCATAATTTCACCAGCAATAATACAGAGGCAAAAAAAATAGTTAGTGAAGTGATCACAATATAAAGTGTATTGATCAAATTTATTTTGAGTGTGAGTTATAATATACAAAATTTAAATAGTGAATGTCAGACTTTTTTTGAAATTTGAAGAAAATTACAGTAAACCCCACATATTTGATATAATTTATAATATATTTAAGATTTTAATTCAAGTAATATTTATTTTATTTTTCATTATAAATTTGTTAGTCATATGAGTGAAAAAACGATATTTTCATATTTTTTCACACTAAAATATATATTTTATTTTGTTTTTTATTGTGATATTTTATTTTGTTTATCTTTGTATTTTCACACCATCTACATTAATCACATCATCTTTGTGTTTTCATATGTTGTATGTCCACTCGAATAGTCGGTGTAACCATACTAAAACTGTGAGTCATAATATATTTTCTCTTGATTTCAGAGAGGTCAATGTAATTTATTCAAATTTAAATATACACCATAGACTTTAAGTTGTTTTGAGTGTGAGTGATAATTGTTGTGACTTGCTTGGTTCGAGTTTTCCAAAAACACTTTTTAGAAAATTTTATTTTCTTGTTTTTCGTGTTTTTTTTGTTTTTATTGAATTTTTTTAATATTTCAAGTAATTTTTATTTTTTTACTTTTTAGACATACCTAACATAAATATATCTAAAAAGTAAAAAATGTATGAAAAAAACCTTTTAAAAATTTACTAAATACCAAAAATACAAAAAAAAAAAAAAAAAAAGAATTCAGTACATTTTTTGTATTTTTATGTATTTATTAATTTTTTAAAATATTTTTTCACAATTTTTTTTACTTTTTAGATACATCTAAGTAAGGTGCATCTAAAAAAATAAAAAAAAATATTTAAAATTTTAAAAATATGCACTAAAAACAAAAAAACATGAAAACCAAAAAACTCACAGTAAAAAACTCAAACCAAACACACTGAATATTTTCATATTTTTTTACACTAAAATATATATATATATATATATTTTAATTGTGATATTTTATTTTTTTTATCTTTGTATTTTCTCATCATCTACGTTAGTCACATCATCTTTGCGTTCTCATATGTTGTATGTCCACTCGAATAGTCGGTATAATTATATTAAAATTGTGAGTCATAATATATTTTCTCTTGATTTTAGAGAGGTCAATGTAATTTATTCAAATTTAAATATACACCATAGAGTTTAAGTTGTTTTGAGTGTGAGCAATAATTGCCGTGACACCTAAAAGGGAATAATAATAATAATAATAATTTTATCATAAGTAATTATTATCCAAGTATAATTGTCCTAATAATGTCCTAGTTATGCTTATGTTGAAAATCAACAGGAGAAAGAGAATTGTGAAGTACAGAGCATTCAAAAAATCCAATTAGCAAAAGAGGAGGAGGAAGAGAAGGAACAATGCAGTCCTGTATCAGTTTTGGACCCTCAATTTGAAGATGATGACGACGGCAACCATGACGAGGACAACAACGACGATGATGAGGACAGTTCTGAACTCGAATGCAGCTATGCAATTGTACAAAGTACGTAGAACTTTTAATTTTATTTTTTAAAACATCCTTCCTTATCAATTGTCTAGTCGTTTTCAATTTCTGTGGTATGTGCATTTGTTTACACATACATGCCATTTACACGTGATTGAAAGATCCTAATCAATTTGATTATACTGATTCTGAAACATGAATTATTTGCAGGTGAAAAAAAACATCATTGTTTTGTACCATTGCAATAAATTTCTCATTAAATTCTTTGGTTTATGTGACCTCATTTTTTGTCTATTGAATACAGAGGTTGCTAACATGGTTCATAACTTCATGTGTTGCCCCACATTAGGCTGAGGTTGTTGTCTTCTTCATGGTTCACACACTTCATAGTGCTTTTCTGTTTACTGGGCTAGGCCAAACATGGAACTAAATTTTTTGAAATTTTTTTTTTGTTTTTTGGGACTTCCATTACATATGTTTGGTTGTTTATGGTTTGGTGATTCAATCTTGTTAGTAGTTTAAATTTTAAGAGTTGTACCATTCTCTTCCTGAGTTTGAAAACAAAAGAACTACAACATCACCAATATCAGGTGTTCAATTTTCATTGTACTCAAAGGAATAAATTTTTAACCTTGTACTTACATTATTCTCAAAAGATCTCCCTCTCTCTCTGCTCCAAAAATAAGTCGCTTTCATTATAATTAGTTCACTAATATTACATATCTAGAATTCACAAACAATAATGGTAGGTCACATTATTTTTTAGATATGGTGGATCTAAGGACGGCATTTTGTTATGTACTTTAGAGTCAATCTACTAAAACCACGCAAACAAAAATATTAAAAATTACGGTTTAGTTTTTTTAAAATTGGGAGAACCTAAATTAACTTGAAAATTAATATTTTTTTTAAAAATTTTTATAATTAAACTCTTTAGTAGAAGGGTTGGTTTGATGCAGTTTAATTTTGGGCACGAAAAAATTTAAATGATCCCACCAGACAAAATTCCTGGACCGGCGATTTAATAAATCTTATATATACATATGTCGTTTATTTTGTGGTGAATATCATTTTACATTTTGCCGTTATACATAGGGTCTTGTTCTCTGTTAATTCGTGGCTCTCATATCTGATATTCTTCTATAAACATTCATTTGAGTGTATTAGTATTAGTATTTGATATTGATTGTTCTTTTGTTTCCTTTCATTGAAACTACAGAGGCAAAGCATCAACTGTTGGTCAAGCTTAGAAGATTTGAAAAACTGGCCGAGTTGGATCCTATTGAACTTGAGAAGAGAATGTTAAAAGACCAAGACGATGAAGATGAGAGCAAAGACATAGAACAAGAGGAATGCGAAGAGGACGCTTCATCATCATCATACACAGAAAAGAATGTTGATGGGTTTGTGAGAGTTGTTCTCGGCAAATTAGGACTCCATCAAAGTAAAGTATTGTCAGACATGGAGAGACTGGTATCAGACCTCATTGCCGAGGAGAGGAGAGAAGACGAAGACAGTGATGATAGCGAAGTGGTGGCAAAAAGGGTTTGTAAGAGGTTGGATTCATGGAAAGAGGTGAAATCTAACACCATTGATATGATGGTGGAATTGGATTTCAGGAGAGAGATTGAAGGGTGGAAAGTGAATGATAAAGAGCTGGTGAGAGAGACTGCAAAGGAAATTGAGCTTGCCATCTTTGGAATATTGATGGAGGAATTATCAGAAGAGCTTGTTTGCTTACCTAGTGGAAAGAGTTCACAAAGTTTCTGTTCATCTATGTAATTTTTTGTTTTTTGTTTTCTCAGGTTGTTAATTTAGATTTATTAATTTTAATTTGAGGATCATACATCTCACTTTCCCTGTGAGGGGGTAGGTTAATTAGTGAAGGAAAGATGACCCAAGAAGGATATGAGTTAGGTTGGTAGCATGGTATTATATGTATATTTATCATGTACATGTAGAAGGGGAATAGTTATGTACCTTTTGCTTAATGAGAGATGACAATTGCAATACATTCCTAGTTTCTTAAATTTTTGGGTAAATCACACCTATCTGTTTGGAGATAATTATATTGACATCTTTTTAGTGATGTTAGAACATCTCCATTCTAGCATCAGATGTTTCATCAAACGTCTCATTTTGGTGCTCCAACTCTTTCACCAGATTCATATCAAATAAATGGAAGCCAAGACTTTCATCAAACGAATGAAGCTTTTCATCTTTTATCAAATTTAAATTGTTATCGTTAGGCCGCACAATCTCCCGGATGTCCACCAAAGAGCAACTTTGACAACTTTGACATCCACTCGGATGTTCTCCCGATCAACCGGACATGTGAAAAAATCTGATGAAAATTCTAATTTTAACATTGGAATAAATGGTTTCAAATCAATTTTTTCATCAAATTTTTACTCAATTTTGATGAATTTTATTATTCAACGTCGGAGATGGTCTTAAAGAGAAACAAAACTGATGGTGTGAAAATGTAAAAATAAATAAGATAAAATACAAATTCGAAGTTAAAATATAAAATATCATTTTTCATCTATATGACTAATGAATTATTGATTAAAAAAAATTTTTTGTTATGTGAATTAAAATTTTGAGAGAAGTTAATGAATTTAGGACAAATTTATACTTCTTATTGTATTTTCTTTAAGCCTTAAGGGAGGTAAGAGTAATTTATCCTAATTTTCTTGTTGTGTGAACGGAAAGACACTCCTTGAAGTGATGTTTAGTAAATTGGACATATTTACTTTAGGGTAAACTATTAATAGGTCCTAATAATATGACTTAATTCTCATCAAGTCCTATTAAAAATAAATATTTGTAAAATTATTGCTAAAAATAATTTTTTTGTGATAATTTTTTATATATGTCATTAAAAATTGACAATTAGTGACTTTTTTATCATAATTTTTATAAATTATCGTTAAAACTTACAATTAGTAATTTTTTTTTATGACAAATTTTTCTCATAGGACCTATTAAATAATAAATCTATTTATTAAGACCAACACGTAAGTATTCCTGAACTTTATCCTAAGTTCTATAGGGTAAGGGAGGGAGGGATGGTGGGAGAGGGAGTGAGAGAATCTTTAAAAATACTAGTCTAATGGTAACACTATTTTACCTGATGTCAAGCGCTAACCAGTAACTAATGGGTTGAAAACCAACCCCATCAGCTAGTTAAAAAAAAAAAATTAAAATTAAAATTATAGTTAATAATAGTCTTTGACAATTTTTGCACCTATTAGTCATTGTTGTTGCATTCAACTCAGCGGCTTCTCCCTTCCACAAAAATTTTATAGTTTGAATGGAAAATCCACTTCTTAATTTGTTCAAATTATTCATACACTACAAGAAATTAGACTTTCGCCGACCAAAATCTTAGTCGCCAAAGGTCACTTTTTTAGTCGCCAAAACCAATTAGCGACTAAATTTTTTTGTCGCCAACTTGGTGGAAATAATGTGTTAAAATTTTCTTTCATTTATGATTTGAGAATTAGTATTTAAGTTTTTGTAAAACTCTATAAATAAAATATTTTAAAGCGGCTGCTAGATGTAGCCACTAAAAAACCGCAAATAAGATTAAATGGACAAGTTTTATCTCTCACTAATCTAATTATATTATAATTTCTACTACAAAATAAGATTACTTATTAAATTATAAATTTACAGCGTGATATGTTCTATAACAATCATACAAGTAACAAAATATTGAGATGAACAAAAAAAAGTTTAGGTAGAGTTAGATCTAAGTGTTGACTAAATAAACATAGCGTTATATTTAATATATAACCCGTTCAAGAAAATTATAAATAAATAAAAAAAAAAAAGCTTCCCTAACAATCATGTAAAAAGTTAAAACTTAGACGAAAGTTTGAGCAAAGAATATGATTCCACCATGAAAACAACTTCAAAACTTTTTTTTTTTGGATAACTTTGGCATCCCTCTTTTTTTCCCCTTTCATTTGTGTATCTTTCTTTATCCAAATCCTCTCCTGACTGTCGGCAACCAACTGAAATTCTCTGCATATCATAATAGTTTGGTCACGAATTTGTGAACTTTTTTTTAACAACTCCATCATTATAGACACACTATTTGGATCAATTGCAGCCCTAAAAAGAATGTGCTAGCTGTTCGCAAATTAACAAAGTGAGATGGGACCACTATCTAACATTACATTAGTGACAAAAATGCAAGCTTGAGAGATGAATTATTTCATCCATTGACATTATGATAATGTTATTATATATTAGGACCACACTTTATTAAATCATATAGAATGACTAAAGTTACATGTATCATTGATTAAAACGAAACTTAAATATTGGTAAAGGTGCACGTAAAAAGGCGATTAGGTTTGATTATAGAACTACTTTTTATTAATTATACTTTCGAAGTTGTGGCTGCACACTTTATCTCTACAAATTATTATTACTTTAGTATCAATTGAGCTATTCTATCATATTCCTTAAAACATATTATTTTAGTTTGTAACATTTTAAATAATAAAGTTCGATTATTGCAGGTCAAATTTGCCATTAAGAGTCATTTGTGAGATTTGTTTGTTGATAGAACATTTTTCTTAACTTTAGCTGCATCAAAATCTACATCAAATGTGTTCCTTGTGTGCTTCAATTAGGCCATTAAAATCTCCTCTTAAACGATGTAGAAGAAATATTTATGTTTATATTTTTATGATTTTGGAATTAAATTGTAACTAAAATTTTGTTTGCTTAATAGTAGTTAAGAAGAATGGAAATAGGATTGCAAATGGAGCTAAAGATTTGGAAATTTTTATTTAATATTTGAATAGCTATTGATGGGTCGACTGATTATTTGTTAGGTCGACCCATCCCTCTATGCTCAAATCTTTGGAAAAGTATTGGATTGACTCATTAGTGCTAGATTTAGTCCATATACAACATCCAACACCATATTGAGATTCGAATAAACTATCAATAGGTTCTAATAGTTAAAATTTCATTAAGTCTTATTGAAAATAATAGTAGCTAAAAATAATTTTTTATGACGATTTTTTACATATGTCAATAAAAATTAACAATTAGTAACTTTTTTTTTTCGCGGTTTATAAATTGTCGCTAAAACTTACAATTAGTGACGTCTTTCTATGACGAATTTTTCAAACTATCGCTTGAAGTTGAAAATTAGTGACATTTTTTTTGTGACCATTTTTTTTAAACTGTCACTAAAACTTATAATTAATAACTTTTTTTGTGATAAAATTTTCAAACGGTCGCGGAAAATTAACAATTAATGACTTTTTTAAATAGTGTTTGATGAAAAATATTATTAATTATCATAGGACTTATTGGATAATAAATCTACCTATTAAGATCTATACGTAAGTCCCCTTTTAATTTTATTTTGCTTAGGTTTGCTATTATGTATTAATTTGAACTTTTCTAAGATTTTGATTAAGTTCACTTTATTACATAAAAGACTACCAGCATAAAGAAGTTTATTCAGTCAATAATATTTTTTAAGATTTTTTTTTTGGTTGAAAAAATTACCAATAATCCTATTTTATTCTCAAGATTAGCTGTGAATTTTATCAAATTTCAATAGAGACAACTAAGTCCTATTTTTATAACTTGTTCCTAAAAGTTTAATTTTCGATGATGGTGTATTTTTTTTTTTTTTCAAGTTTACCCTATCTTAAAATATGGATAATAACTTCTTAATCTTTTAAAAATATATTTTCTAAATTTTAAAAATAAACAAATTCTATAAAACAAAAGCATAAGGTTCATCATTTTCTGTTGTCTCAAAAAATATACAGATTTGCTATGGTATTTTCTTTCACAATTTTTTAAAGATAATTATTACAAAAATTAGGCCTTTTGAATTATTCACAAAATATATTCTTACAGTGTGAGATAATAAAAATGTTGAATCTTACGCCTTAATTCTTTTAATCAAATTGTTATGTATGAATTTGTTTGATGTAATTTATTTAATCTTTACAATTAAAAATATAATTCTTAAGTAAATTATATATATATTTTTTATGAAATTGTTATTCATATTTTAAGAAGAAGGATAAAATTAGAATAAAATATGCTATTAGGGAGATTTGAACTTCGTTCAGAATAATTTATGAAAAAAAGGATTTAATTATCCACAATGAAAAACGATAAGATTATTTATGATAAGGTAATCATTTTTAACATTATTGCTACATCACTAAATCAACTCCCTCCATTGGGTAGTAGATACAATATTTTATGAATATATGTAAAGAGTGATAATATATAAATATAAAATTTGTATAAAAAAAAATCATAAAAAATGAAGTGACATAAGTGTGTCCATTCATTTCAAATTAAAAACCTCATGAAAGTGATTTATAATTTTCAATATGTCACCACTACATTATTTTTATAACATTTTTTGTATAAATTTTTTGTTTGGAATCATTTTCCATATTTAAAAGAACCATGACTCAAGGCCTACCCTCCTATGCAATGGTAGATCTCCATATGCACTCACAAAGGAAGAAAGGACAGAAATGGAACCAAAGGAATTGCATAGAGCTTGATTAGTATGGTTCACCCAACTTGGATTAGAAAGCTCAACCTTCTCCTCTCTGCAAGAAGAGGAAGATCCAATTCTACAAGGAACATGGTATGGCCTTTTACAACTATTCAGTAGACTTCCCTTTGATGTTTTACTCTTCCTTTTAGGTTATCTAAAATACCAATTGTAAGAAATTTTCTATAGGTGAGCCTACATAAATCAAATAATAATACATTGAATACTGTTAAACGAAGTATGAGTGGTATCGATTAGACCTATTAAATTATGATCCATACAAAATATGATCAGGTCATGGACATATCTTTAATATTATATATTTTTTGTCATGCTGTGTGCATTAAAGGAGTATGGATTAAACAATATATGTAAAGACCAGTTTAAACTCACTTGTAATTCTCTTTATTTATGATAGGCTAATATGAAATTGAGACTTTATAAATATGTGCTTAAGGTCCCTACTCC